AAAAGAAAATGAGAAAGAAAGAAAAGAAAAGAACAGAAAAAATAAAACCTCTGTCTAAGCATTAGCTAAGCACAAATTTTCTAAACAGACACTTCACTGGCTATACATGACAAAGACTACAAATGTACAGACTTAGTTTGAAAAAGTCACTAAATAGCAGCAACAACAATAAACTCCAACAATAACAAACCTTGGGGAAATCTTTCCAGCGTAGCCACATTACATAATTTTATGTATTTTATATATATATATATATATATATATATATGCATTTTATAATTTATATTTTATATAAAATTTTATATTATGTATGTGTATATATCTTCTTTCCAGAGTAGCTGCATTATATAATTTTGTATATAATGTATATACATTTTATAATCTATATTTTATATAAAGTTTTATATATGTCCAGTTTTCAATAAAAATGTATTAGATACACAAGGAAATAGGAAAAAGAAAAAGTAAATAGAAACAGCACTTGAAGAAGTCCAGATGTCAGAATTATACAAAAACTTTAAGTCAGCTAGTATGAATAAGTTAAAAAAAGGAAAGAAAAACATATTTAGAGAACTAAATGAAAGTATGAAAATAATACTTTACCATTATCTCCTATCTGTTTTAGATGAGTGTAAACCCATTTACCTGGACTTTTTCCCCAGCTGCCCTTGCTAGTAGGTATACCCATTTGACTGAATTCTGGCATATAGGTTAAGAATGAAATCTCTTATGAAACTGCTCTGTTGCACCCTAAAGTTGCTAGCTCTCTATTTCCTTCCCATTTTAGGCAGGCTAAAGTGTGCACATGAGGGGTTGAGCCGTTGTTTTTTTTTTTGTCGTTGTTTTTGTTTTTTGGAGACAGGGCCTCACTCTGTCTCCCTAGGCTGGCATGCAGTGGCAGCCAGATACTGCAGAAAACTTCAGAATCACATGGGTTGTTCTATAATCAGGATTAGCCATCTACTTTAATTCTCTGTGTACTGTTTGTCTTTTTTCCTAAAACAAATTATTGTTTTTAAAAATTGAATAATTTTAAATTATTTTAATGTTAAAAATATTGTGCATGCAGTGGTGTGCAATCCCCTCCCAAGCTCATGCAATCCTGCCACCTCACCTTCCCAAAATGATAGGATTACTGAGCCAGTGTGCCTGCCTGCCGCCTTTGAACCGGCTGTTAAGAGCAACATTGTCAAGAGCTGGGATGCTGGGCCACTTGATGAACAGAGCCTATGGAATCAGCAGGGCCAGAGAGAAATATATTCTCTACCAGATATTGGCTATTGTTATTTTGGCCACTTTGAAAGCAGTCAAGCCAATCTTCTCACTTATTGAATAACATCTTTGGGGTCATGATCTTTTTTTTTTAAGATTTATTTTTTCTTCTCATGAATCTATGCTTAGATGGTTTCAAATGAACAACACTGAGGTTTTCAGGACACACATGACCAGTCAGTCCTGATCCTCTGGGAGTTTAGAGTAGAGTTGAAGGAGTCGCCTGCATAAATCGCTAATGGAAAATATGATAAACACAAGAGCAGAGATTCAAATGGACTTTTGTGGAAGCGTAGTTCAAGTTGAGAGGAGCAAAGGACAGCTGGAGGAAGACATAGAGGAGGAAGGTGGGACCTGAGCCACCCCCCAGATAATTGGGTGGAGACCCTCAGCAGGTGGAAGGGTGTGGCTGTGGGGAAAAGAAGAGAGGCAAGTACAGTAGACATTAGTCAAGGTCAGAATATAGCAGAGTGACTGAAGGGGAAAATCATTGGAGACTATGCTGAGCTCTTCAAGTTGACTGGAGCTGCAGATGTTTAGACTGAGGCTCAGGACAGATGTCCAAGTGAGAAATTTAAGTTTGAGAATCATCTGCAGAGAGATGGTGGTTGAAGAACTGAGAAGGGCTAAAACTTCAAAACCACATGGGTTGTTCTATAATCAGGATTAGCCTTCTACTTTAATTCCCTGTGCGCTCTTTGTCTTTCTTTCTAAAACAAATTTTTCATTTAAAACATTAAATAGCTGGGCACAGTGGCTCACGCCTAAAATCCCAGCACTTTGAAAGGCCGAGGCAGGTGGACAACAAGGTCAGGAGTTCAAGACAAGCCTGGCCAACATGGTGAAACCCCATCTCTACTAAAAAAAAAAAAAAATTAGCAGGATGTGGTAGTGGGCACCTGTAGTCCCAGCTACGTGAGCGGCTGAGGCAGGATAATTGCTTGAATCTGGGAGGCGGAGGTTGCAGTGAGCCAAGATTTCACCACTGCACTCCAGCCTAGGTGGCAGAGTGAGACTCCATCTCAAAGAAAAAATTAAATTATGTTTAATGTTAATTTTATAAATAGGAAAACAGTGGTAAAAATTTCACTTATATGTGTTAATTAGAAAACAACTCTACCTTATCAGGATACAAAAACACTATTAAAAAAATATAAATTGGATGGCCGGTCATGGTGGCTCACACCTATAATCCTAGCACTTTGGGAAGCCGAGGCAGGAGAATTGCTTGAGCCCAGTAGTTCAAGCCCATCCTGGGTAACATAACAAGATTCTATCTCTATAAAAATCCAAAAATTAGCTGGGCATGGTGGCATACACCTGTGGTCCCAGCTGCTCCAGAAGCTGAGGTGGGAGGATCGCTTGAACCCAGGTGGTGAAGGCAGCAGTGAATCATGCTCTACCAGTGCACTCAGCCTGGGTGACAGAATTAGACCATGTCTCAAAAAATAGTGCTTATAAATTGGAATAAGAAATTATGTTGCCTTCACACACCTGCAAATGGTTTTTCTAAGGAGTTAGTTTAAAAATTATACTTTGCTTTTCTCCAGGAATACTTACTTATAATTATCCCAATGTCAATTCAGCACAATAATGTGAATACAATACAATATGTTAATACATATCATTTTAAAGCTAAATTAGTTATCAAATTGTTTTTACTTTTAGAGTTACAGAGAAATTCAAAATAGTACAGATAATTCCTGTACACTTTTCACCCAACTTGCCCTAAAGTTAACTTTTTACATACAACCATGATTCTAAGAAAACTACAATGAAACATAATACTATTAACTAAACTCCAGACTTTATCAGATTTCACCAGTTTTTTCTTCTAATTGTTGTGTGTGTGTGTGTGTGTGTGTGTGTGTGTGTGTGTGTGTGTTTCAGGATCCAGTCACTGATAGAAAATCGCTGGTGGTCTTTACGTTTTAAAATCCTCCTTAGTCATGTAAAAACATGGTAGTACAGAGTGTCGCTCTAGTCCATCTGAAGCAAAGAAGACAGGAAGGGGAGCTATGAAGTGCCTGTTCGAGACCAGGATTTGTCACTAATAAAACCATAGACCTGTCAGGTAGATGGTTGTGGGAATCAAACGTGAAAGCACTCTGAAAATTATCAAGCACTGCACTCCAGTAAGATCATATATTCACTCATCAATGTTTCCAATGATATTTCCTGGGCACCAGTCATATCTTAGACACTATGTTTGGCACAGGAGCCACGCATAAAAGACTCGAGTCCTTGCTTGCTGGTAATTCTAGCCATGTAAAGCTGATCATTAAGTATTTATTGAGTGCCTACCACTGGCCCTATGATACCAATTATTACTTTTCCATTAGAGTGCGCTCAATGACTGCTCCATTACAGGCTTGAAAGAGTTAATGTGCTGCAAATGCCTCTGTGCCTGGGGAGTTCTGCACCACCTCTGACCAGGCTGCAGATGCATTAGGCTCAAGTATGTATTTTCTTTTCCCTTCTGTTTATGTCTCTGTTTTCTGTAAAGTCTGCTACACTGCAGCAGTATCTTCCAAGCTCTCTGACAATGTTATAAATTTCATTAAGAAGATGAAGCCTTATGGGGCAATTAACTCCAAAAGTGGTACAAAGCCATAGCGAGGAGATACTGGCCTGTAGTACTTAGCACTTAGCTCTGAAATTGAGATAAGCCCTATCAACCCAGGGTTGTGTTTAATGTTCACTGCAGCTTCCTTACCGCAGCTACAACCTAGCGGTCACCGTGTTAACACTCCCCAATATCTATTACAATTAGTTTTTGATTAAGAGGCCTAACATGGCTTTTGAAGCTTTTTATGTTGTGTCAAATGGCTAGTGATGGAGTGAGATGCACAGACACCTCCCGGTAACAAAGCATATTGTAAAAGGTTTCGAGTGAACTATTTTATCATCCTAATGGAAACCAGATGACTCGAACTCCCCCCTTAATTTCAACTATTTACTGAAGAGTCCTTGTTTTGAATTACTGAAAGATTTATTCTTAAATGACTACCTCATGCATTAAGAATCGCTAATAACAGAGCCATTTGGAATTTGGGAAAGCTTTTAAAGATGACTGAAGCAATGTTCACAGACGATTTATTTTATTTTATTTTATTTTTCGTTTGATTTTTAAAGAGCAAATGTCTTTGCCCTTTCCTAGTATTTAATTATTACTTTAGTTACTGTTTATGAGGCCCCTCTCTGTTGAGTTATACTGTCTCGGCCAGGGTTTCAATCAGTAGTCTTGGCCTGTTGTCTAAGAAAGAGGTCACTGATATTTTGTGAGGAGAGAGAAACTTTGTTTAGTTATGTAAGACATTCTTTGTGAACTGAAAATATATGCTACTTTTATAACCGTCCATTTGATGAAACAAAGTATAATTATTTAAAAATCCCTTTGTAGATTAAAAAGCTGAAGATCTGAATTGTTTAACATTTTATTACTCTTAACATGAACTCTAACATGTAATGAAAATGGTATAGAAATATGACTTAACTTGTGAGTGTGAATCATAAGAGCTTTTTACTAACATACTTTTTTACCAACTGTCTCTGGCCTCATTTATATAGTTTTTTTTTTGCACCTTAGTTTCCTCATCTGTGGTCTGGGGTTTGAACAGACGTACCCTGAGTTTTTGTTCATCTCTCGATGTTATTGACTCTGTGATGTCAGATGTGCTGGAGACTATTAGTGCCTGGAGTGTAAGGGTTTTATCACGGGAACTCAGTGTGGTGTATTGGGTTTGAGCCCTGGCTCTGCCTGTTATTAACCAGTCATTCTTTGGCATAATATCAACTTACTAACGCTCAGAGTCTTTCCATATAAAACAAGGGCAATGTTAGCTATTCCACAGGGTGACATGAAATAACCTAAGAAATAAATAAAATCAGATATATAGGGTACTTGGTAATTGGTAGCCTCTCAATCATTTCTGTTCCCCACTTTTTGCCTTCATGTTTTTTCCTGTTTAATGGTGCCTCATACAATTTGAATGAATGAAATGACCGTGATGTCTGTCATGTACATCCTTATATGACAAACAGTGAGCACTTGCTATGTGCCAGTGTTGTGCTAGGTCTGGGGATCCTAAGACTAGAGGCAGAGACTTGCTCATACAAAGATTGGGTCATAGAGAATAGGCAGAATAGAGCCAGACAGTCAGCAATGAGTATAGATGGCAGCTCTCAGGGGGGCCGCCCACGTAGTGCAGATCGCAGTTGGAGCTCACTCTCGTATGTGATCACATGCATCATTTCAGGTAGTCTTCTCAACCACCCTCTCAGCCTAGCATGGCAGGTGTTATCAATCTCCCCTTTGTAGACTAAAACGCTGAAAATCCGAATTGTTTGATATTTTATTACTCTTATTAGTAATATCTGTTCAAAATAAAACTTGCTGTCACAAATGGAATTGCAGTGAACATGTGCAAAGATTTAGACCAAGTTAAAAAAAAGTTGTAGCAGATTTAAGCATTCATATTTAACTTATCAGAGTCTCTTTTCTAAGCATTATCTCATAGAGGTCCACTCATTTCTTTCATTTATGCATTTGTCCAACATTAATGTGCTGTTTTCCAAACACAGGTCTAGGCGATGGGGCTTTGAAGATGAAAGCAGTAGCCTCTGCCTTCAGCAAGGAATTTGTAGTCCTGTGAGGAGATGGGTACTTCCACCCATGATTATAGTTAGAAGTAGGTGCTGGCCCAGAGGTTGACAGAGAGAAAAGCCCTCTTGAGTCCCTGGAGAGGCCTTCGATGAGGCCTTCTGGAGGAGGGGAGAGGACACTTGAACTTAGCTGAATTTTACAGGATTAAAAAGGGACAAACGAAAGTAAGGGTAACATGGAGATACTTGAGAAGAGTCTGGGAGACAGGAAAGCATGGCTCTCTGGGGCTGTTGTCAGTAGTGACAAGGTACCATGTGGTGAGGATGTGGCTGTGGAGAAGTGGAAAGGCAGCAGGTTATGAGGACGTTTGGCCAACATCCGTCCTTCAATGAGAAATGAGTTCCCATACACCCTCTGCAGTTCACATCTGTTGAAGTCTACCCCACATTTAACTAGTAAATAAGCCTTGTATCTTATTTCTTTCCACTTCCTCTCAAACCCATCTCATCTGCTGCCTGTGGCTAGTCTGGGTTTATAGTCCACCTTAGCAGTTGGTTAGAGGCTGTTATTAGTATAACCAACCTTAAATAATTTGATTTTCAGGTTGGGTAAGTCACAATATCTCCTGTGGGCTTGATAGTCAAGCTACACATTTGTTTAAAAATTGGTTTCTTCACATTATATTTGAAAGCAATGCTACTCACTCATCTGTAAACCATTAGGCTACATGTATAAAAGTATCTCATCTGACTTTTATCCACATAGCTCTGAGGATCTGTTTCAGATCCTTGCTGATATTCCAGCTCTCTAGTAAGTCTATTGTCTTATTTTATTAGCTTTCTCTTTAGGACAATCCCATAGTGAATTGTGTGTTTAAAGGAGAAGAGAAACTGTAGAATAAATTGTCAAGGTACACTCAGGCTTTCCTCCTCCTCGGCAGATTTTCAGGGGTTCTTTTCTGTTTGTTTATTTATTTGTTTTCAATTTAAACAGGAGACTTAAACTGGCCTGGTGTGGCCTGCAGTAGATACATATTGTTTGGGCCATGAGTTATGAACCCTTTAAAGTCCAGAAATCTAGAGATTTCACACAAAATCTGGCTTCTTTAAAAAAAATCAAAAGACATGATGCTGTGGCTCATAGGGGCTCTCTGTAGGGCAAAGGTACATTCACTCCTGGGTTTCTCATGGTCCCTGGGGCACCCACTTCACTCACCAGGATTTCCTGCTGTACCCCCAACACCTTTGCCTTAGTGTCTACAGCTCTGGACTTGACCTTTTCCCATTGAAAAACTAAACTGGCGTGAACGCCAATCAGCAGGCATGTAACCCTCTCAGCCCAGAAGTTTTAAAATAAGGCAGGGGCTTAATAACTCAATGAGGACACAAATACTTTTAGAGAGGCTTTGTAGGTTAGTGATAAAATAATTTTACTGAGCGATTTTACACATGGCCATGGAAGGAAAACAAGGGAACCACAAATGTTAGACTAAATAAAATTTATCAAATAAATGATCACCCAGAAATTATCCTTCCATCATTGCACTTACTTTTTGTCATGACTGTCTCAGAACTGTTTTTTGGTGAGAATATGAGAAATATAAAAATGAAAAAGTAATTCTCTCACTCTCTATCAGAAATCACCACAGGGGTTTCCTCTGGCACCCACTTTCCTGAGCTTGGTTGAAAGTGCTAGTTTTTCCTGGTGTTAATTATTAATGTGACCCGTTTATGTACCAGTTATCCAGCTAACCATTAATATCTGTTTACTCATTGGTGACCTTTGCAATTGCGTACCTAGCTCCTGGCTGTAAATGTCAACTTTTTGTTTTTATATGCTAAACGTTTTCTCTATATCTACTGAGTACCTGAAACAACTCCTTAACAAGGTAAAATAATATCAAGCAACACAAGTATAACCTTTATGAATATGAAATAGAAGACACACACTATTTTTTTCAGAGGCAACATAACTTTCCTGTTTGAAATGAGCAAGAGATGTACACAAATGGCAAATGCAAGGATCCCTGGGGGGAAACAACAACAACAAAAAACCTTTGGCAAGAAAAAACATTCTTCTGCTTCTGTGCTTAGTTTGTGGAGGTGGGGTGGGGCGGAGGCAGGGACAAGGGAAGGACTCTGACCTCATCCTGGGGAATGAAACCTAATTTTACTTTTTCAAAATGTCAGAGTTAAGCACTTGCACATTCAAGGCCTTCAGGATTTATCTCTAGCTACCTAGTCAGTCTACATTAACCCCAACACGAGCAAAACATTTCCATTCCACACAATTGTAATGGCTAAAGCTGAGATTAAGCAATGCAGCTGGATTAGGGCTTCAACTGGTGACCTTAATTTTACCCATCATTGGAGCCTGTGTACATTTGACTCTTCTTAATTGCATTTGCCTAATTTAAACAGACAATTGTAGCCCAAGACATTTTTTCACCCCAAATAATAAAAAAGGAAGAAGAGCGTTTTCCTAGAAATTAACCGCAGGATGGTCTTGCTATGTCTGCTGCTTGGGTAACAAAAGCAGCCGTTTTCTTTTTCCTGCCCCATTAACATACCAGCACAGGGAAGTACCCATTGAAATATTACCATCTTTGCATAACAATGCAACTTTAAAGTCTCACAGTGCTTCTTTAGCGAAATATTTAAAAATACTAATATCATCCCAGCCATAAATAAGCGTGATGGCATTCATAGAGATTAAAGTTTTGAGATATGCCTTAGGTGTACATTCACATTTTCTTGTTCATTGAGTTCTAACTTCAGTAAAATTAGTTTTTTTTTTTTTTTTAGATAGAGCTCTGAACACTTGCTGTGACTGTCACTTCGTGTTGAATTTATCATATAGAATTTAAGGCGGAAGACTGGGGAGCAATCTGTCACAAACGATTGTATTCGTAATCGTTGAGGGTTGGGATGGGGGCTGGGGAGAAGATAAGCATCCTAGGGCCGTGCTTGTCGCCTGCACCATTCATTCGGCTCCAGTGGCAGTGGCGAGGGGATTTGCGTAGGCTGAGTGTGTAATGTGTTTCCTTCAAGCCTGCCTTGATGGCTCTGTCTGTGCTGTGCTTCATGCACATAAATGCCTCTCAGGTTTTCTCAGCTAAATGATAACTCAGCTTGTCTTTCCTGGTGAATTCAGTAATAAATAGATATATGGGCTCGACGTGGGGTGTTCTGACTTAGTTAGATCCTCTCATGTCCTGGAACAGACAAGTGGACTCAATCATGCTGGCAACAGGATACATACTTTCCAGGGAAGTGAGGGTTTTATGCTAAGTTTACAATGACATGAACTGAAAAGCAACTCAAAGTCAAGGTTAGTATTGCAACCTCACGCCCATTTAGGGTATCTAGAGGGGAAAACGGTCAACATGCAACATTATTTTATTTGAAAACTGAACATCTATTAGGGGATTTTGAAATGATAGAAAAGTAGAATAGTTGAGTTGCTTCTTGAACTCATTTAATGTGTACATTTTACTCTGGGAATGAAGTATTTTCCCAAGACTGATATTCAGTGCTACATTTTTTTCCTCTGATGTGCCAGGCAGGCATTTCTTCACAACCTCTGGTTGTTGGAAGTCGAGTACTCTTAATAGCTTGCAGATCTATATCTGGGTATCACAATCACAGGCTTTTGAACTTTGCCAATCAGAATCCCACATTTACATTTCCTTTTTATGTCACATGCTCAGTGAGCTTAATTGACACATGGAAAATTTCCTGTATACATATTATTTAAAGCAACACTGGAAATTTGGGTTTGTGGAATGTGTCGGAAGCCCTGAACGCTCTTGGCTTCTTCGCTGCTGGCTTGGTCTGTGGCCCAGAATGATGCAAGTTATGCATAGCTCAGAACTCTCAGATTAGCTGCTGGGGCAGTACTGGGAGTGTGTTCAGGCTTAAGAGCCTGAGGCTCTGGCCCACCCATTTCTGAGGCTCCAGCCCACTCCCTACTGTGAGGCAGTGGAGGTTACTCTTGTTTGTGAAGACTCGGGCCATTAACTTCTGCAGGAAATCTGCCCTCATTCCCAGCCTGCAGTAGGGCTAGGGGCCTCATTCTGGGCCTCTGTGGGATACTGGGGTTATTCAATTTGTAGCACTTACCATATTGCCCTAAAGACTTTCTCATGGGTTTCTCCTCCAACTAGATGGGGGATACATTCAGAGCCAGGACTCAGCACCTAGCACTGTGTCTGACCTACGGAGATAGTAAAGGCAGCCTGGGTGCTGGGTAGGCTGTAGGACTAAGCAGGACTGGCCACAGGGATGACAATCATCACAACAGCTCCTAATGATAGAGCAGGTACTCAGTGATTCTAAATGCTAGCCTAGGTGATGCCTGATGCCCATTTTACAGATGAGAAAGGTAAATAAGCTGTAGCTAGTTCAGGTTGTATTCACAGCATAAATTAGGAAGGCAGAGAACTGAAAGGGGAACTGGAACCCCAGGCTATTGCTTATGCTCTGAACATACACACTCTGAATTATATCATGGAAAGAGAGTATTTCCATGATCAAAATACAATTGGGCAGGAGTTTCAGAGCTAGTAAGATTGAGAGAGAGTGCAGGCCTTGCTGCAGTTTCCTTTCCAGTGGCACTCAGAGGGGTTTGTGTTTTCAGTTTCTGTGTTATTGTTTTGGCTTATGCAGTATTTCATTCCTAGCATTTTGCAATAAATTGATGGTCTCTCCATATTTCTATTTATTTGGCTTTACCATGTCCTAGTGGTGAGATCTTGGACCATTTACATCTGTGTTCTTCTGTTTCCTCTGCTGTGAATGTGGGGATGGAGGATTGTCTTGAGGAGTGACCATTCTAATACTTGTCAAGATCCTAGAATGGTGCTCAGCATGTTCTGAGTGGACAGCAGATGTTAGATGTTCTGATTTATGATTTTAGCTGTCCCTGTCTCATCTGCTTGCCACTGTCCCCACCTACCTGAGCTTCCCTCCTGTAGCTCCGCTGCCCACAAGTGTGTTGGGTGCTGGAAGCATTGGGTGGAGCGTTTGCTGCATCTGTCAGCCTGGGCTTAGGGACCACGGGTCTACCTTCACCCGTCAGTCACCCTCTTTAAGGCACAAACACTTCTTCAGGGGGCTGCCATGGATTGAAGCCCGTCTCTGTGAGTGGCCTGCTTCTCTGCCCTTCACCCACTTCACATCTATTAAAATCTCTCTCTGTCTCCCTGCCTCTCTCTCTCCCTCCTCTCAAAGGCCCTGAGCTTTTCCCCTCTTCCTCCCTGCTGGCATTATCTCCTCCCAGAGCTTGAGCTTTCGGGAAACAAAAGCCAGGTGTCTTGGCTTTGGACTCTTAAAACAAACCTCCCCTGAGGCAGGGGCACAGAGAGGCCTGGCTTCCTTTGTAGAGCAGAGGGCAAACACTGAGATAAAAACACAAATTAATATATCAGTAAATTATCCTGCTCCACTGACATACTCTCTAATCAGAAAGACAGTGAAAACACGGGAGGATGCCAGCAAAGAATCCAGGGGAGGAAGGAGGAGCCACAAAGCCAGCAGCAGCCCAAAGAGG